CCATTTTCTTACTGCATCTTCGTAGTATTTACTTAATGGTTTAAAAAATGATACGTCCAAGGGCTGAAGACGATGGGAGCAATGTGGTGGAAAACATAATAATATGACATCTTTTTCTCTAGCTAGATCAATTACATCAAGATTTGTAGTATGGCTTCTGTGTCCGTCAAGGAGCAGCAATACAGGAGACGTTGACGAAGGTTTTGAGAAATCTATAAATTTCTTAAACCAAGATAAGAAAAGATCTTTATTTATCCATCCGGAAGAATGGACTTCAGCCCATGATCCTGGGGGTAAACCCGTTTGGAACTCCTGCTGCATTCTTTTTCTTGGAAATATTAGCATTGGTGGCATATAATTACCTGCGGCAGATATGCAAACTACCGCTGTGACTGTTTCCCCTCGGTCTGCAGAAGTTACTGCTCCTACCTTATGTAAAATAATAAGTTTAAAAATGAGAATTAAAATAGTTTAAATACCTTTAATACCTACTAGTTCGTCTAATGTCCACTGCAAATTAGAGTTCTAAAAAAATCGAAAAAAATACTGCTTGAAAGTGTTACTTAACTTTATCATGCTTCCTATTTACCTGTCGACGACCTTTACAGGCCACAATTCGGGATTGTTGCTTTGGATTGACCGTAACACCCGTCTCATCAACATTAAATATTCTATCTGCTGTTATATTTCTTGTTTGAACGATACTGGTTAATAGATCAAAATATTTTTTAACTGAAACTTTATTGAAGCCCATGGCTCTAGCAGCAGATGTGGCTTCAGGTTTTCTCAAGGAAATGTTTGAATGACGTTGCATAAAACCGTGTAACCAATCTACACCAGCTAATTGAGTTTCCTTATTGAAAGAATTATGTAAGTTATTTTTTTCCGCTAGTTGAAAAGCCAGGGATCTCACTTCCATAGAAGTTAGGCCAAAAAGTCTCTGCTCCATGCTAATTATATAATTACAAAGCTCCTTTTCCTGTTCTTTTGTGAATACTGTTTTGAAAGCACCTGCTTTTGTAACTTTAACCATTTTGTCAGAACTGTTTTTCATTTTCTGAACATATCGTTCCAAAGTCGTTTTGGGAACTCTAAATATACTAGAAGCCTTGCGATAACCCATATTTCCTTCAATAACTGCAGATACAGCATCATTCATTAAATTGTTATCCCATTTCTGCCTCTCGGTTTTTCGTACATATTTTCGAACCATCTACAGAAATAACAATAGATATTATAATTAACTAATAAAATTAATATAATACAGCAGAAATCATTATGTACATACCTTTCAATGTTGCTGTTAATTTTCAGTTTCTTTCAGTTCAATTTCTCTTGTTGAAACACGCTCCCTTAACCTAACAC